GGTATACATTTTCTGCTAAGCCAACTTGAGCCTAGATGTCACACTTTCCAATCTTTTTCCCGCACCTTGAGAGAGTTGCAGACATTCCGCCTCGTGTTGAAGTTTCTCCAGGGTGGTGATGATCAAGGTCTGGGTACAGTGGGGGCAAGTCCAATGACGGCGGATTACCGAGCTGAATTCACCCAGAGGATCGCTGGCGACGTTGTACAAACTATTAACGCAACGGAGACAGACAAGTGTTGCTGTAATAAATGCCAAAGATCAACATAAAAGGAGACCCGTTTGTATCAACAGATTTAGCCGGGCCTAATTGAAACAGTTGGAAATGCCCTCTATTTGCAAAGTACAGACAACAATAACAAAAACTATTGAAGAATAGCTGCCGTGCTCTCCAAATTATGTGTGACTTTTTTCCCCATTCACATTTACTCTTGTCACAAACCTCTCATTCTATCAGTGGAATCCTTGTTGGAAATGTATGGCATTGGATTTCGGATGTAAAAACCACAATTCCATTTTTGAAATGTTTATTGTTGGGGGGGTGAAGTCTTTTATTACTGTGATAAGTGCTACCATGTCAATCATGATCTTTGATATTTCAAGGAAATCATATCAGGCTTCCTTACCTGATTTCCTAGTGATCTCTGAAACAAGATTAAAGCTTTATTTTATTACTGCACATCCAATGTCCACTTCCTTCAATCCTTAACCCCTTCACGGCGGGATTATTTTGACCGCGATTGCTGGGCTGTGGCATGCCCTGAATGGAGGGCTTTGTCCAGCAGCAGGCCCCATTGAACCAGCATGGTGAAGCTGCATGGTGAATAGACTGTATGTGTGGTGTGCACTGATGATCACACAAAGGTGCTGTAGTCACAGTCGTCCGTAGCGAAGGGGTTAAAGAATTTTTGGCTTATTCTAGGTGGAGTGAGAACATGGACATCAACAATAATTTAAACAAATCTGAAAATGAAGTAAATCCAACCATACCAGCCAAAGGTCAGGTAATCATTGACCTGAGTCCCTCCTTTTGTTGGATGGATTTTACCATCTCGGCTCTGAGATGTGAAGAAATCATCTTTGTTTCCTTCACTTCCTTGTCCTAATGTTTATGAAAAAAAGAATAGAAAAGAATGAAAATGAAGCTACCAATCAGAAAATCCTTCACATTTATAGACAACAGGATTTCGCAAGGATGTTGGCCAAGTTCCACATAAGATTGGGTGGGTTTGGGACTACAGCCGTGAACATTTAATCTTGGTTGGCCTTCCCAAATTTGATTTTTTTATTGTCCTTTTCCTTTCCTTCGTCTCAATAGCAAGTGCTTTAAGAGATTTCTAATAGTTTCTGAAAAAAATCAAAGGCCAATTAAAAGTGATTACTGTCTGAAAAAGAATCTATGTCACAAATGTGTTGATCTTCATTTTACTTCTTGTGAACAGAATTTGACAAAATGTGACCCACTCTGTGAAAATGGGTCTTAAGTTGCCAGAGCCACTTTTTTGAGTTTGCATTTGTATTGGAAAGAGCAAATTGAGTTTTTGTTTTGATGTATCGCTCAGTTTGAAATCCTGATGAAAGTGGATACTCCATGGTGAAAAATGCTGTGGGTTCCTATTGCTTACACTGTGCAAAATTGTTTTACAGGACTTTTTACTCCAACGTGGCTCTGGCGACTTAAGACTCATTTTCACAGAGTGGGTCACAAATATCCATGAATTCTAGTTTCCCAAAATATCCAAAAATTACGAACAAGACTAATCACCCCTTCCCTCCAAAATACGCCTTCAAAATCTGGTGTGTGTTCTGAAACACATGACGGCATAAATGTAAATGGAACTAAAAGGCCACAGATGCTCAAGAACACAGCAAATTATCCAAATACTTGACCGATGACCAACAACTACAACAGTCTTTGGCTACGACTGCCAAAACATCCCTTGTTACTGTCAGTAGGCTGCGGACAAAGGTCATTGTTGACTGAGTTATCCATCCATGCCACCGTATCACACATTTACACAGTGCTACTCACCTCTGTGTGGTCCGAGGTACAGGTTCTGAAGCTCGGTGGAGCCCAGCTTACGCATGGTGTACTCCACGTGGCAATCTAGGAACTCGGCCAGCTTGCTTGACAACAGTCTCTCCTGATGAAGGACTCTTAGATTACTGACGCTGGTGGATTCATCCGGATGAGACAGCTTAGTATCTGGAGAAAACGCAGATGATGGTGAGAATATTGGTACTGTTTTCAACATTCGGCACAATCAGACAAGGGACTAGGAATTCAGCTCCCTCCAAAACAAAATAGATGGGGTGATGAAATGAGAAAATTGGCCTACTTGAAGGAAAGATTTCACACAGGTATAAACTCATTTGAGAAACCCATGCAGCTGTCACGATATATACATTATTTCTCACTGCACCTGTTACACAGGTCTCTTTATCTTTCTTGCTCTGAAAAAAATGGCCAAATATCCCAAAGCGTAAAGGTCAGGTTTTAACATCAGAAATTATAACTCCTAGGTAAAAGATACAAAGAGCCAGGAAGTAGACTATGCCTTTCAAACCCTGACGCAATGCCATTTTTCACAGTGAACTTCCAATCATGCAGTTTTTAACTGAACTTCTGGTACCTTGTAGTCTCATTTCCAGCAGTTGGAGCCAGGCTGCCCTCAGCTGAATCACCGCTGACATCACATGCTCAGCAGTGTCCACGTCAGCAATGGTCAACTCAATCCACTCATCAACTACAATTCTAACACAAAGAAAAACCACTGCACGTCGCATTACGTCGTCACAGCAAGGCAAGCATTTGAAAAGAGATCATAAAGGGCCAACTTCAGCACGACAACAAGCAGATAATGAAAAGAATCTTAATTGCTCAAATGAAAATATGCACTGCAGTCTCCGTAAGACTACAGATTTTGAGGCAAACATTTTCTACATAATTAAAGCGACTGTTTCAACTAATCAAAAGCCATGGCTTAGAATACAGAACTTATGGACCAGCTCGTAGCTCCCTACACAAGAATTCTTTTTTTACAGATGTACCTTGTACATGCTTGGTTGGTATCCAGACAGTTTGCATAGAGTAGCATCGTTTGAAGAGCTGGTACCCTCATGGTATTGACAAGATATGGCTTATTTGTCTCAAGCAGAGATCTGAAATGTCAAGGATAGAAGAAACAGTTTTAGGGGTCAATAATACTTCCTAAAATACATCCTAACAAATGTCATTATGGCATAAGGCAAGTAACAAATGGAATTTTTAAACAAACTTTATCCATATCTGATTTGAATTTGAAATTTCTCCTCAAGTGCTTTCTCAATGTTAAAATTTCCACCGTAAATTTTTCAACGGGGGGGGGGCTTTCTTCCGATCAGTACGTTTCACTGTTGCAAAGACAACAATCTTACACGTAAGCAATCAGTTGATGTCTGCTGCTCCTCACCCCCCTGGAACAAGCATTGCCCGCTTCATCCTTCTCCTCTGGGGGCTCAAGGATGGATGGATTGTTGGCAAACACTCCAGTAGGATGGAGCAGCACAAACGGTTTGGCCTGCAATCAAAAGCAATCCTTCTCAGGAATTAGCTTTTTTTTTCCTGGAAAGTAAAAGAACTTCCCATCTCATAATTATTATGTTCAGCAATATGACGTTTGAAGAATCCAGTGTTTCCTTCAACTGTCTACTAAGCTTGCTGCAATAGCTTTGATTATTTTCATTTAGTTTTGCAACTAACAAACTTAAAATCTATGCAAAATCACTTTGTAGTCTTACTTTGGTATGGAATACTTGGTCACACTCTCGCCGATAGGTGTTACAATCATCAGCAATAGCCAGCTGTGGGTAGAGTCCACTGCAGAGAATCACCTTCAAGAGATTCAGCTCTCGCAGTGTGAAGCTACGGTTCAGGCTAGCTGCGGTCTGCACAAAAAAAAGCAACAATTTCTACTAGATTAAAATCTCCCTAGAGATGCGATTTCGCTATGCCCTCATATCAAATGCGTTACACTTGAACTATTGTTTACTTTGTGGCCACCCAGTTTGTCCTCAAACTGATTATGAAGTCTCAGGATTTATGAGAAAGGTTGTACCTGCAGGCGGTTGAGGTCATGGGTCAGTTTGAACTCTAGGCTTTTGAGGTCACTTCCTGGCTCATCCTCATCGTCGCCACTCTCATCAAAGTTCTGCATCCAAGGAACAAAACAGTACACTGAAAGAAAAGTCACAGACAGTCAGAGATGCAAGTTAAAATACCGAAGTCACAAACTTGTTTGTCACCTCTTGGCCCAAACGAAGAAGTTTACGTTTCTTGGGCCCACTGTGCTCTTTTCTCTTGAGCTCCCTCAACTTCTTTTTCTCCAAATTCCTTTGGTATCTTTCGGCACTGCTGAACTTTCTCTCTGATGGGTCGCTCAATCTCTCAACAAGATTGTGGTCCTTGGGAATAGGGAGAAGAAATGTGTTCAGATCATGCTAATCATGGGTAAGTTTACGAGTTTTGCAAAAGAATATCAACTTTAATAGATTCAGTCCCAAGAGAAAAAAAAAATCTAAGAATTTACCTTTAACATTCCTTTGCATATTACTTGCAAATTATTCATGAGCTGTGGAATTTTAAGAGCTTAACAGCATCAGTCCTAGGACTAGATCACATGGGTTGCCAAGTCAAAACTTCTGCTTTAAAAATGGAAGCGCTATTGGCAGCTACGCACATCAGGCACAAGTTGCAAACAATACATGTCACAAAATTGTGGCTGGTAGCTCAGTGTTGAGTGGTTCTATAAGACTGGCGAATTTACCCTGAGAAGGTCCTCAAACTGTCGTTTGAGCTTGGACATTTCATAGAAGCGTTGTTCCTCCAGACCTCGCCTTTTACACCACTTGAGAGCTGGTAAACCCTTGGCCTTGACCTTCAATAGTCAAATAGTCAAATGGTCGGACAACTAATAATCTACATGCAAAACCTTTCTCAGTAAACCACCCCCTCCCCAGCAAGATCAAGAGAGGGCCCAATTTTCCTAGCAACAGAGGCTCCTTTGGTGGGAACTAAACTTTTCTGGTTCACAAACGACTATGAAATGCATGCGTTACAGTCGCATCGCTATCAACAAATGAACACTCCCCCCCAACATGGCTCTTTTCAAACAATGAGGGGGTGCTTCTGCTCAAGATGGAATTAGCCTCACATATGACCTTGACATGAAGTAAAACGATTTCATTTGATCTGTGCAAATCAATAAATTAAACACTTCTTTTTCACAACGAACAGCCCACCTGAATCCACTCGTCAAAAGCGTTCAGCAACGTGAATGGATCACCGTGATCAGACTCCAGAGGGCACCGCGCTGTCTGTGGAACACAGAAGGGAAAGATACAGTTACAAAAATGTTTCGGTGCACTTCCCCTTGCATTTCCAAAGCGTAAATTTATTAAGATGGCATATACTTCTCATGCACGGAAAGCATCGGACAAGGCATGAGCATAAAAGCTCAAAGCTTTGAAGACAACAATGTTGCAGAAATGGAGTTTGGAATTCTTTTTACCATTGCTTCAGATCTGTGTGCCCTGCTGGTGAACGGCGACTGAACGCTGAGAGCGGCTGCTATACACAACACTGGCTCAATCATCTAAAACAAAGATCATAACAATGAGGATAGGGCTGAGTCAATTCGAATAATTCACTATTCGAATATTCAACCTTCAATTCAATCGAATATCCCAATATTCGTTCATACTGAGAGGCAGATTGTTGATGAACAAACCATGTACAAAATCAGTTGCAATAACGCACACAGTTGTACATAATAATCACTATAATAGCTTCTCACATCTACGAGTATCTCCAGCCACGATTTAGCCAGATCTAAGTGACGAATAATACTTCTTGTCCTGTAGAAAATGTATTCCTTTTAAAATTTTTAATGAATAATGTACTTTTTGAATTGTTAGGAGATGTCTGTCGCTTTTCATTTGAATCTGCTTGGAACAAGCCTCCACAGTGCAAGTTTTCTTATTTAAAACAAAAGAAAACTCTCCCTTCCTTTTCAAGAATTTCGCATTCAAATTTGACAAACAAAATTTGAATATTCAATAATCGATTGGATATTTGGACATTCAGCACAACCTTAAATAAGGAAGACATCAGAACATTAATTGATGCCTGATCATTAAGATGCCTGTTGAACAAGAAACTAACTACTCCAACACTCCACATGTACACATCCTTGAACAAGACCAAGAGGGCTGGTACAGGTTGATGGCAGAGTCTGAGCCAAATGAGGGTGGACTGTTGATTACAAGCCTTAAATTGTAGGTAGACAGTCAATTAACAGCCAATCACAATGCACTTGTTCAAACCTTACATTCAAACTTGTCCAATGAGAGTTTCTTTTAGATCAGCCTGTACCAGAGTCCTCTGTTAATGGGACCTTGAGTTTCAGGCAAGTATGTGAAGCATTCTACGGGTATGCAGAGAAAAAAATGTGAAAAACTAAACCAGGAAAATGTTACCCATAGATATAGAAACAGCAGCTTGAGCTTAAAAGTCAGGTCAAAAAGTGTCTAATGGTCACATGCTACCAAAACACACGAGGCACATACACTGCGATGAATTTGAGCATTGCTCAGTAGGACTAGCTTTCTGTTGAGATGTCTCTGAGTTACCTTGAAAATGGTGGCCATGATGAGCATCTTGCCGATGACAACATCAACCGGCAGATCAGCCAGGAGTCGACCAATGGGAGTCAGCCTTTCCTCCTTGCTTAAAGCTCTCTGCTCCTTGAGGAACAGGATGGAGCTCTCGATGCTTGTAGCAGGAGGTGGTTCAATGAATGGAAACCTGGACAAGAGGGAGCAGAGATGGGAGAATAAAACTTGGCTGCCGTGTACATGAAGGGTCGCATTTTGGAAAGCAGCTATGCACAAAACCACTTAGTTAGCAAAAAGCAGGTTACCAACCAATATGCTGTGCCATATGTACTGCATTAACCAATTTGCTGCCTGGGGACCCGTTTTCGAGCACATAGACTTTATACACGAAGCCCGGGAGCCCGAAACTTGGACAAAAGAGCTTGGCCTTGTAACAAAAGACAGTGCTCAGCACAAAAGACTGAGCTGCCAGGCATTACCAACATTTTTTCACTCACAATAGTGGAGATAATCCAGCCTTGTTTTGAAAAGCATACCACGGTTTTGGGCATTTAGTACGAGCAAATTACCACTGGGGCCAAAAGCGCTCCACCACCGCAGCCATGAGCCACACAGCACCGCTGCACGCTAATCTGGCCCCTATTGAAAAGAGGTCAGCAGCGCACAGTGTCAGGTTCATGAACAAAAGAAAGTTACATAACACCGCACAATCTGGGCTCTTTTTACAAGGCTGCAGGCCTGGCTGAAATAATCGGGCGTCGATAGATTTTGTCTGTCAGGCTACAGTGGCCACCAGACAGTAATTCATGTGGGTGTATAGGTCCATTCATTGAAATGATGCATTTTTGAAGATTTTTGAAATCTAAAAATCTTGAAATTCGCCCGTATGTACGCACTGTATTTTTCAAACCACCCAGCAGCAAGAGGTTAAGCTGGTGTTCAGCTCATCCTCGCTTAGCACAGAAATATGCTTATCAGTATTTTCTGCCCCCCCCCAAAAAAAGGGCTTTGATTTCCACAACTGAAACCTCCGCTCACAGTAAACAGCTGGAAGTGTAACAATTTCTACAAATATCAGAGAAAAGGAAAATCATGGAACATTTGATGCAGCAGCTTGGAGTAATGCTGAATCTCGAAACTGTACATCTAACTCTGTCATGAAAGTCACATATTAAAGACAAGGATAATCATAAAATTGGAGAAACAGAAGACAGATTACCCTCAAATATTTGTGTATGGCAAATTCTCATATTAATCTTTTCTCAAAGGAATCCTTCAACTTACTTCCTAGGATCGTGGAGTCCCAGTGCCATCATCTGTAGGATCAGCGAGTCCAGTGGAACCCTGTGTATCTCTGGGGTGGAGTACTCCTGGAAATCACTGTACCGTGATTCCTCATAGAGACGGAAGCAGACGCCCGGCCCAGTACGCCCTGAGATGGAAACGTTATGACACCAGTCTATGACAATACCATAGACACCAGACTCCTTGTCCCGTCTATAAGTCCACAGCACTAAGCAGGATATAGTGTTAAT